CAAGCTCTGACAGAATAATTTGTGAAACAAAAAAGAAGAAACTCTTTCAATGAGAATTCATCTGCTGCACACACACACACACACAATTGAAACAACAGTAGCAGCAATGACAAAGCTTCCTTAAAATTGTTTCATCCTTTCTTGTAAAAACTTAGAACAGACCTACAACATCATTATCTGAACTCACAAGTGAATAATAATTATCCCTTGTCACAGTTGATAGTTTTTCAGTCACTTTCACATACTTTATCTCATTGAACCCTAATACTGACCTTGGAAAATTGGCAGACCTCAGGTTTATTATTGCCACTTGAGAAGTGAAGAAAGAAGGCACCTATGAATGAGTGACTTGCCCCCAAACCATATGGTTATGAAGTATTAAAGGCAGGACTAGCACCCAGGGCAGAGAATTATAGAATCTCTAAGTTGGAAAAGAGCTCAGTGGGTATCTAGTGCAGTCTGGATCCCTCCTCACCTAACACACAGTAATCTACCCTGTGCTTATAGAACCAAAGCTGGCTATCTGCTTGCCTAGTGTATTGGGGGTGGAGTGCATGACTGAATCAGGAGTATATGATGTATTATATGCTCATCTAGTAAAAGTTTGATTTGGTGACTCCAAGATGGCCTCCATTCCTTTTTCCAGTATTAGTACATATTTCTATTTCCTGTAAAACCCCAAAGGTTCTATTGCATTACATGGTTGATTAGATATATAGTTCTACCAAATTTAATTGGGATTTAAGATTTCTAGCATATCCCCAAAAGATTGCTTAGCACTCTGCCTTGACCTGTGATATTTGCTCCCATGTGATCAAATATAATTAATCATGGTAGTACATGAAGCATACATAGCAGGTATTCTATTTTTAGTCCATTGCTCTTTCCACTGAGGCGCTGGACTAAAGGAACTGTGAAGACAGCAATGAGCCCTTATGCATCTTCATCAAGTTGGTGCTTATCTAAAGCTTTCAACAACAGTAGGCAAAAAATAGAATGATACCCCATTCCTAGGATTGACTTAACACTGCCAGGTGAGGTCTGTATTCTGCTGGCTCTGGAGTTTTCCAATCTCAGCTGAAGTTGGGCTTCCTAATTACAGCACGCATTCTTGGCATGTAATGTTTCTAAAACCCAAAAGCTGTCCTGATACAAGAGTTGGGTGACTAATAGAAGGCCTTATGTGTGTGTGTGTGTGTGTGTGTATATATATATATATATATATATATATATATATATTTGTGTGGTGTGTATATACATATATGTATATATATATATACATACATATATGTATATATATATATACATATATATATATTTGTGTGTGTGTGTATATACATATATGTATATATAGTATGTATAATGTGATTATATATGCATAACATATGTGTGTCTATTTATATAGAGAGAGACATTAATATTTATACATATACATATATATGTATACATACATATATGGGGAGATGTAACACCAAAAGCCATTTCCTGATAGATAAGTGAGCCAAGTATATGAACAAACAGTTCTCAAAAGAAGAATTACAAATTATTAACCTAGGAAAGAATATTCCAGATCACTAATAATGAGATATATAAATTAAAACAGGCCAGAGGTTTCACTTCACACTCAACAAGTTGACAAAAGATGGATATAGCCCATGTTGGAGAGGTTGTAGAAAGACAGATATACGAATCCAGTGGTATCAAAATCAAATAGAAATATCCCTGTGGGCTGCATATTGACTTAGAAAGCCACAAATTGCCATTATCTGTGTTGTATTTTTATTTATTTTGTTAAATACTTCCCAGTTACATTTTAATCTGGTTTGGGCAACACTTCTGAGTTTCGCAGGCCTCTTGCAACAGGGGCCATGAGACTGACACCTCTGCACTAATGCATTATTGGTGGAACTCTGAATTAGTACATCCATCCTAGAAAATACTTTAAAATTATATAAGTAAAGTGATTTAAATGTCCATACTCTTTCATACAGAAATTCTACTGCTAGGTATATACCCCAAAGAGGCGACTGACAAAATAAAAAGGACCATGTACACCAAAATATTTATAACAAAGAACTGGAAACAAAATAGATGTTCATCTATTGGGAAATGCTAAATAAAATGTGATACATGAATGTAATAGAATATTACTCAGCTGTTAGCAATGGTAAGTATGATGAGTACAGAGAAGCATGGAATAACTTACATGAACTGATACACTGTAAAGTAAGAAAAGAGAAGAAAACGGTATAAGCAGTGACTACAGCAAGAGAAATGGAAATGACAACATCCCCAAAAGGAATCAAGAATGAGTGTTGCACATTTATAAAAAAAACTAGCTTGGCCCCAGAAGAGAGATGTAAGAATTCACCTCTGCAGAGTTGAGGGGTGGTGGTACATGAACACGGAATATTCCTTGTAATGTATAATTTTTTCAACATATTGAAGAGTTTTGCTGAAATTTTTTTTCACTTCTTTTTCTTTAAAAATCTACTTTGTTAAGAGGCAGGGCTTCTTAACCTGGAGTCTATAAACTTTTTTTTTTAATATATATAGATATAGATATAGATAGATAATTATATTTCAATATAATTGATTTCTTTTGTAATCCACTTATTTTATTCATTTAAACATATTTTTCTGAGTAGTCCATAGGCCTCACCAAACTGCCAAAGGGGTCCATGACACAAAAAAGCTTAAGACCCATTGTTATAAGGGATGATTCTTTGAGATGAAGGAGGGAGGTGGATACAGTGGAAATATAGTTAATGAAAAAACAAATGATATCAATAAAAATCTATTTTTAAAAAGAAGGAAAATGAATGTATCCTGTCAAATACCAACCATTCTAAAATAAGATTTTTGAAGTAAATTTTTTATTAATAAATTTTGTGTTTACATTGCATTACCTTCCCACTATAACTCTCTCCCTTCCCCCTCCCCCCTCCCAGAGAGTCAGATTTTTTATAAAGAGAAGAGAAATACTATAATAACAGCAACAATAAAACCAATCAATACATCAACAAAATTGACAGTATGTGCAATGTTCTATACCCACAGACCCCTATATTTGAAAAGGATTAAGGAGAAGTATCTTTGTATATTTCTTCTGTGGGACCAACCTTGTTCTTTGTAACTTTCCAATATTCCTTTTCAATGTGGCGGTTCTTTTCAGTTACACTGTTGTAGTTATGGTGTATGGGGTAGCTAAGTGGTACAGTGGATAGTGGAGCACCAGGCCTGGAGTCAGGAAGAATTCAAATCTGGCCTGTTCAAATCTAACCCTGTTTTCCTCAGTTTCCTCATCTGTAAAATGAGCTAGAGAAAGAAATGGCAAACCACTCCACTACATTTGTCTAGAAAACCCCAACTGGGGTCACGAAGAGTCAGACACATGACTGAAAAACACCTGAACTGAATAGTCATTATGTATGCCTAAAGTTAATCATTTCCTTGTGCATGTTTGAACTGGCCAGTGCCCATTCCTCAATGCTTTTATACACTAGCACTTCCTTATTAGGAGGCAGCTAGGTGGCTCAGTAGATAGAGCGTGGCCTGGATTCAAGAAGACCTGAGTTCAAATGTAGCCTCAGACATTCAAGAGCTGGGTAACTCTGGGCAAGTCACTTAACCTCTGCTTGTCTTAATCCACTGAAGAAATAAAGGGCAAACTGCCCCAGTGTCTTTGTTAAGGAAACCCTACATGGGATCATGAAGAGTTAGGGACAACTGGACAGCAAAATAAACAACTTCCTTATTAAAAACTTCCTTCTCAGACAGTAGTGTACTTGAACACTTGTGTATATCATAGGAGCCTGACTCAGAATATTGAAATAAATGTAGGTTTATTTAACTCTGTAATTTATAGCTCAATGCTTTCATGATTGTTTTCCCGTGTTGGTGTTCTCCAGCTGGTGATCTTTCAATTAAAACTGCCGACATACCCTATTTTTCCATTATCTAGATTTAATTAAAATTCTTTGAAATATAATAAGTGATTTTTTGTGTATCTTTTAGAGTTGAAGGAAATTAATTTGCATCCACTTTTTTCAGTTGGTGTGAATGTGTAATAATTACATGCAAGGCATGTGGTAAGGAATAACTTTATAGGCTAAGACGTGTTATTAAGGGGAATTTGTAAATTCTCTAATATGATTGTTATCTTAGGCTGGGGGGATTGTGCGGCCAGTTGTGTAGCTATTGTTGAAGAATAAAGATATATATCAAGTCAAATGACTAAATTCTATAATTTCAAACCTAGATTTGAAATGGATGATTATAGATTTCAATTTTCATTTATTTATTTTTCTTGATAGTTGACAGCATTATAGGATTGTGGCAAAGAAGGAAAAACGACTACTTGAAACTGCAGACAATAATCCAGAAAACTCAAGGGCGAAAAACATTATACTGACTGGTTTTGATTCCAGAGAATAGATAGTAAAATATACCTCCCTGCTCTTGGCTAAGGGGTGGGGGACCAACTAAACAGAGTATTGCCTATACTGTCACACAGAGTCGACATATCAGTTATTTTTACGGTTTCTTTTTTTTAAGAATGGGTTCAATGCAGCTGGTAGGGGGATATAGCTGGGGATTACCAAGATTTAAAAACAAAGGATATCAATGTAACTTTTAAAGAAAAAAAATGTATTTAATAGGGAAAAAAGGAAACCTAAGTGTGACAACAACGTGATACCATGGACTGAGTGTTAGTGAGACTTAAGAGTTAGGAAGACCCAGGTTTGCATCTGGTGTCTGATGCTGTGGCCTTGGGCAAGTCATTTAAGCCTCCCTAAATCTAATCCTTTCAGGGTTAGCATGCTGTACCTAAACAAAAGACTATATTTAAAGCGTTTTGCAAAGCCATAAATACTTAAACATCTAGTATACTCAAATGGACTTGTGATAGCATCAATGAGTGTATTCCTTCTAATGCCAGACATCAGAACTCATTCATGACTGTCTGTCCTTTATGTCTCTTGTCCATATCTTCCCAGAAGATCACCATAGGAAGACCACCTAACACACTGGGAATCTTCCTTGAGGTCTTTTGATATCATCAGTCAATTGGACCAGCGGAGCATGTGACCCACCAGATACTCTTCACTTTCACCTGGGACGGGCCTATCTCTTTCAAATAGGCACTTCTGGGATGACCTAGGTGTCTCTGATTCTCCTTCATAATTCCTGATTTATGATGTCTAAAGGTCCATTAATCCTCACTGTATACTTCTCCATTGCCCTTTCGGTGCTTTGAATTTTTTTTTTTTTGAGGAAATTCTAGTGTTCCATGACTCAACAGCCATATCATATCACTTGATGAATATTAGTATTATATTTTTTGGGGGGGGTTTAGGCAGTGGGGTTAAGTGACTTGCCCAGAGTCACACAGCTAGTAAGTGTTAAGTGTCTGAGGCCGGATTTGAACTCAGGTCCTCCATTCTGGTGCCCCATCCACTGTGCCACCTAGCTGCCCCTGAATATTAGTATTTTAAAGGATGGGTATTTCTAGGAGAAGTTTAAAGTCACTCATGGAGTTTGCAGTTTCCCAAAGGCAATCCTCTTACACAATCCCATGCTTAAATCATTGTCTATTTGGTACCCTTCTCAAATAGTGTGTATATATGATATAAAGATATGAGATAGATAGATATAAATAAATAGACAGACAGATTGATGCATGAGCTCTCTAGGCTGTCCATCCAAGTGTCCAAATGCATATCACACTCTGGAAAATAGGCACCCTTCATCTATTTGTTTTTCCCTATGCAGATAGCAAGGTCAAATGCTCTTGAGTGATTTTATATCTCTTCCAGGAAGCTCTACAGTGTTTTGGAACTTGATGCAACCAGCACAAAGTCATCCACAAATAAGAGCATGTGGAAAACCCTGTTATCTATATGTAATCCTTTGTAAACTTGGACTGTGTGTTGGACCTCCTTCATGACATTGGCCAACAAATTCGGTGAGTATTCATCTTCTTTTTTTATACTTCCCTTGACATTGATGATTAAAGGGTTTATTAACAAGTTTATGTCTGCTGTTATATCTTTCAAGAAATTCTGCATGGTTCATAAATATGTGTAGGAGATACCTTGCTGGAGGAAAGCTTTTAAGCTGATGTTTTGGTCTCCTAAGTCACATACTGTGTCTGATCAAGCAATAAGCAGAATGATATCTTGTATTTTCAATATTTTTCAGTCGCTTATATAATGATACAGCTATGGACTATTGTAGAATACAGGTTTCAGTAGCTTACCTATTCCCTTCTCAAATCCTCTTCAAGAAAGTCTTCAAAGTGAGTGTGTGTCTGTACATTATTTTTATAAAAATGCTGAATAGATGGGGAAATAGCCTTGCGCATCATTATTGATGTCTTCTTAGTTACTTACCTCTTTTGCCCCGTGCCATCCTTCACATACCTTGAGAATTCATTCCTCAGCTCCTCAAAATTATTTTGTCTTTACCACAGACCTCTGTGTACTTAGTCTATCTCTTTGGTGCCACTGGAGCTGTGGTGCCAGGGTCCATAGAGTCTGGCTCTCCTCTCCTTGATACTAAAAAGACATTTTTCATAAAGTGTTTTTAGATTTGTTTCATCTTTCTTTTGTCAATTGACTCCTTCCAGTTTTATTCTTTTTTTTCCAGTTTTATTCTTAAATAGCCTTGTGATGACTTTGCTTATCTGCATCATTCACTGAGGTTTTGTTAAACTGATTTTTCTCTCCAGTGCTTCTTGTTTTATGAGATAATCTAGCTTATTGTGTTCCACCATCTTTTTTCCATAAGTTTTAAATAGTTATGTTCTAAAGTAGCAATACCCCTAGTTGCTATGTCTCTTCCATTCAACAAGTAAATGTTTGCTATCTAAGCTGGTTTTTAAACTCTTGGTCTCCTTAATATGGTAATTGATTTACATCAATTAAATTTCTCTATGTAATAATTAGTCAATGTCCTTTCCTTCATTTCCTAATTCTCGGCATCAATTTTTAAAAGAAAATATGTCAAATTGGAGTTGATTTCATAGCATGCCACCTATTTCTCTCATTTCTCTTCTCTCTTTTGGCTTTGTATTAATTTTGACCTTTGCTTTATCTTTATAGATAAACACTTGATTCAGGTATAATTCTCACAGTGTTATGTTTTATTCTATTATTCAGTATTTGTCATGACCAACAACTTCCTTTCCCTTTTCTCCCCTCCCCTTCCATTTCCTTCCCTCCCCTCTCCTTCCCTTCACTCTTCTTCCCTTCCCTTCCCTTCCCTTCCCTTCCCTTCCCTTCCCTTCCTTCCCTTCCCTTCCCTTCCCTTCCCTTCCCTTCCCTTCCCTTCCCTTCCCTTCCCTTCCCTTCCCTTCCATTCCTTTCCCTTCCTCCAGGCAGGCACTCATAGGCCCAATCCCAATATTGATCTGCACAGAAGCTTTAAACTGTTCTCTTTTTTCTGACTTGAGCCAGTTTGCCTCTCAACTCATGTGTAATATCTTTTTGGATATAGACAGTGTTATATCCTAAGCAATCTCAACTCATAAAGCAGTGAAAAATACTGAAGGCAGAAACTAGTTTCAATAATCCTTGGTACAAAACTCAAATGAACAAAGTCATTCTGAGAGCATTGAAGGATGAACCTTAAAGGAGCAGCCAAACCAAACCAAAAAAACAAGTAGAAGGAGGTCGAGGGGTTTTCTTTATTTGTACACACACACACACACACACACACACACACACAAACAAACACACACACACACATATGTATTATGTATATATATTCTTGGCTTTACTTCTTGAGGAAATGGAAATGTTACTGAGGAAAGCAAAGATGAGAAAAAAGTAGCTGGCCTAGATAAATTATATAGAGAGGAGGTTGATGCCAGAGCCTCTGTTTTTATTGTTTACTCATTGTTTTCAGTGTCTCTGTTGATTTTTTGGTGAGGTCTCCTTTTGAGAATTTCTCTCCTTCATCCTCGTTTTTGTTACTCTTCAACTTTGGTGCGTTTCTTCCTTTTTTGGATGACAGGAACTTTGCTTAGACACAACCACTTATTCAGCCATCTTGCTAGCTGTTCCAGAAGCATTCTTTCTTTATACTTGTGTTTTTTCCTGTGTGGATTGCTAACCCAATCTCTTTCATTTGGGCTACAGATCTATTGGAGAAGGTGCTCTAGTTTTTTGGAGGTTAATGAAGTCAGTACAAGGTCATCTATAAAGAGGAGTACCTGAAGAAGCTCACCTTAGCCAGAATCCTACCTCTCTTTGAATTTTGTGGAGGATGTTCCACACGATAGAGGTAAGGGTCTTTGATGGCACCATCTCCCTTTTGATACCTCAGTTGATACTGATACCCAGAAGACCATTGAATAGTGTGATCTCTATGGTTGGCTTTATCATGAAGTCTTATGAGATCTCAGCCTATGCATGAAAGACACACTATTGAAGAACTACTTTTAAAGTTTCATTTTACTCTGTTTTGCCAAATGCTTTTTTATATTCAACAAACAATAAATAGAGTTGGGCTCTTTATTTTATGCAGTGAGAGCCTATGTTCTCAATTGTATTACTGGGAAAATATAATCAGCTGTGGAGTCATCTGCAAAAACCTGTCTGTATTTTTCTCCTATTTTTCCATAAGAATACCCTTAATATATGCACAGAACATTCTAACCAAGATTTTATAGAAATGAGAAAATGTGTTAGTCAATAGTTACCAGTTGTGTTGTGGCCACCTCTTGATGGGGGGGTGGGGGACAGTCATATTACCTTCTGTGATCTTTTGCATCCTTTTGGAATCTTCCTATCTTTGAGGTAGCTTGCAAATTGATACATTTAAAATTGTATCTCCATTACAGCTCTCTTCTATATGTATTTCAGGCACCTGCTGCTTTTCTTCACAATTTTGTTTTATTCCATTTTCTCACTAGAGCACATCAGATTCTGATATGTTCAAGGCCCAGGGTAAGTTATTATCTTCACAGTCAAAAAAGGATGAGAATAGATTATTATAGAAACATTGAGAGTTCTGTTTCATGTCTCTATGGTGGCCTCCTGCTTTCATGTATGGATCTTGGCTTGATCAGGCTTAGTTGGGTCTCATGCTAAGCTTTTGGTATCCAAATGCAGTGAAATTCAAATGTTTTCTCTTCATTGAACACTTGAGTATGTCAAAATGCCCCAGAGAAAATCTTTAGTACTGAAAAAAAAAGTGCCTCACCATAATTAATGAGGAAGACAAACCTTGCTTTTTTTTCTTTTCTTAGAAGATGAACTATATCAGAAGCATATTATATCATGCCACAAAAATATAATAAAATTATACTCAACTGGAATGCAGTTTGGGGTAATTGAGAAATCAGAAAAAACTTTTTCTCGGCTTTAAGCCCTATCTGGAAAATCATTCCAGAATATCTATACTCTCTTGCCTTAGTAAGACTCTGTCTGATTCAGATTTATCAGGACCTTAGTTATCTTTGTAAAGGAATATATCTATTCTAGGGGTTCTTAATCTTTTTTGTGCCATGGATCCCTTTGGCAGTCTGGTGAAGCCTTTGAAGCCTTCTCAGAATATTTTTAAATACATAAAATACCTAGGATTACAATGGAAACCAATGGTTAGTAAAAATAGAACTGTAATTTTTCCCATCCAAGTTCACTGACACCCTAAAATCTTTCCACAGATTCTCTTGGATCCCAGGTTACAAACTTCTCATCCGTCCAAATAGTGCAAGAGATTGGGATCATAAGTTAGAGGATTTTAGAGCTTGAAGGGAAGTGTACGCTGAGAAGGACACATCCTGGAGGTTCTATAATTCAGTAAATGAGCTTGTTGGTTTTTTTTTTCCTCCACAAAGCAAAGTATGGAGGCCGTAGGACTAGAAAACAGGCAAATTCAAAGTTCTCTTTATTTGGTTTCAGAGTAATCAAAATTTTACTGTCTTAGTGTAAAGCCCTGACATAATGCAACACCCCATTTCCCTCATGTCAATACAATCTGGGTCAGTTTGCCTTCATCAGACACAACCTGGAGCAAAAGGTAAATGTAGGCAGGCTAGACGGATCTAATCAGAGGATAATATAGGCTAGCTAGCTGCCTGTCTCTAAATGCTCGAGAGAAAACAACCACTTCTGTGCTAGCCACCAATTTACTTTCAGGAGAAACTACATTCCTAGAATCAGTACTGGCTTCCTGTACATACTGTGCCGATGTTAAATCAATTAAAATTTCTTTAAGTGATTTATTCCCTCAGTTTTTATTTTCTTTTAGAAAGCATTGCTCAAGATTCTAGAGGAATGGACTTGGAATACCGATTGCAAGGTGGCTGAAGCTGTGGGGATAGAGTGGGAAGCCCATTGGCCAGGGAACTTGGGGGCTGGGGTTTCTCCTGATGAGGGAATCACAAATGGTGGGATCACTACCAAGGGAAAACTGAGATGGCACCAAAACCACTTGAAACTTAAAGCTCATGGCCTGGCCTGAGGCAAGCAAACAGTAAGTGCTGGCGCCACTAGCTGGCAGAGTAGAGAAGTGCTCATCGGGCCTTTTGTTGCTTTTTTATAGGAATTAGCTTGGGGGAATTATTTCCTTTTTCTTCTCTGTGCTCTTTTTGTTACTTTATTTGGCAGATGTATTTATGTATTGCTCTTCTAAGGTAGTAGGCTTACCACTCAGCTGTCTTTTTTCATATTTAATTTTATTATTTTTTCCCTGAATAAGTATTTATTTTCTCTCTCTCCTATTTCCCCTTCCAAATAAGCAATAACAAAAAAAAGAAAAGAAAAGAAAATCCTTATAAGAAACATGCAGAGTCAAATTTAAAAATTCCCTCATTGACCATGTCCTAAATTGTATGTCCCATTCTGCATTTTGAATTTCTCACCTCTATGGCAGGAGATGGCTAGCATGCTTCACCTCTGATCTTCAAAAAAATTGATTTGTCATGGCATTGATCAACATTCAAAAGCCTTCCTAATTTCCTCTGAAACTGTCCATTTTATAACTTCTTATGGCATAATATTGCCCATTAGTTAATATGCTACAGCTTATTTAGTCATGTCTCAATAGATGGGAATTCTCTTATTTTCCAGCTTTTTGTTACTTTGAAAAGAGACACTATACATTTTTTGTACCAATGGATCCTTTTCTTCTTTTCTTTGATTTCTTTTGGGTACCTAAGGAGTAGTGGTATCACTAGGTCAAAGGTTATGCACAGTTTAATGACTTTTTGGAAATAGTTCCGAATAGCTTTCTAAGGTAACTGGAGCAATCCATAGCCCCACTATCAGTGTATTAGTGTGACTAATTCTGAGTCAACTGGTGGAACAGTGGATCAAGCCCTAGTTCTAGAGTCAGAAAGACATGCGTTCGAATCCTTCCTCAGATTTGAACTAATTCTCTAATTCCTAGCTGTGTGACCCTGAGCAAGGCATGCCTGTTTTACTCAGTTTCCTCAACTGTAAAATGAGAATAATAATAGCACCTATCTCACAGGGTTGTTGTGACGATCAAATGAGATAATATTTGTTTGTTTTTTAAAAGCACTTTGCATAGTGCCTGGCAGATAGTAGATGTTACATAAATGTGTATTCCCTTTCCTTCTCCTTCAATAAACATGAAGCTACAAAATAAGAAAAAGACACAGCTCCTGACTTCAAGGAACTTATTGTCTAATGGGGGAAGACAATACAGAAAAGGGAGCTTTTGGGCATGGTGAAAGCCCAGCATGTGGGCATGGTGTTCCATGGAGCTGAAACCAAGCAGAACTGTTGATGGAAAGTGGAGAGTTACCATTTGTACATGAAACATAGTAAATGAACATTTGTCTTGTTTGTTTTTTGTTAACTTTGCCCACCTGATGGGTGTGAAGTGGAATCTCAGTCATTCACCTCTCTTAGTCAATGTCCTCTTCCCATCTGGACTGATTTTTAGAATCAGTGGCAGGGAGATCACTAGCCTTCAAGAGAATAAAATTCAATTTAAACCACATCTACAAGGAAGCTATTATTTGCAAGGTACTGTGCTAGCTACTGGTGTTACCAAGGTAAAAATAAGTCAGTGACCTTAAGAATGTTGTATGGGATGGGGGGAGGGAGAGAAGGAGGGAGAGAGTTAGAGAGGGAGGAGAGAGAGAGAGAGAGAGAGAGAAGAGAGAGAAGAGAGAGAGAGAGAGAGAGAGAGAAATGGATAGATAGATAGATAGATATGCAGCTAGATATATCTCTATATGTAGATAAAGATATAGACAAGTAAACAAATGGTTAATATAAGGAGACAGATAACTCTAATAACTTGTAGCCACAAAGGAAGGATTTATGCAGTCAATGGAAGTGGAGCCTTGCCATTGAAAGCTCAAGATTATAATTAGAATAGTATTAGCAAGTTCTTTATATTTTGCCACTTCAGAGGATCTAGGGTCTTGTCATTTTGGAATATTCACATGCCGGAGTTTATCCCTTCTCCAATTAATGAGCATCTGCTTTGTTCCTAGTTCTTTGCTACTACAGAAAAAAAGTTGCTGTAACTATTTTGGTGTATGTGAGGCCTTTCTTATTATTGATCTTGTTAGGGTCTATGCCTATCAGTAGTATCCCTGAATGAAAGGGTATGGATATTTTTGTCACTTTCTTAGTTAAGTTCCAAATTGATTTCTAGAATGGCTGGATCAATTCACAGCTCTGACAGCCATGCATTAATGTATCCATCTTTCCACAACCCCTCCAGCACTGACTATTCACATCTTTTGCCAATGTACTTGGTATGAGATGAGGCCACCCCCTCAGCCTCAGGGTCTTTTTTCACATGAATTTGCCATCATTGCAGGTCCCCTCCATCCATTTCTTGTTGTCAGTGATTGTTTTTCATGTCAATGTAAGACTTAAATGCAATTGCTGTTAAATAATTTTTGTTGGTGATGGTCTGGTGATAGCCCATCACAATCATTTTGAATCCTGATTGTTTCATTTTTATTTTTGTATCAGGTAACCACAGCCATAAACTCATGGTTAGTTTCTACAAAATAAAAACAAAACAAGACATTCTTTCTGATATAGCTGTCCAGTTTCTAACTTACAAATCCAAGTCATGCTAAATTGGTTCCTACTGAGACGCTGAACATTTCTCTTCTTCAAGGAAAAGGGATATCTGAAATCCATAGATGTAATGAAAAGACTGTTTGCAGTGAAAGGCAACTAGTATTACAGTCTATTCCACTATTAATAGGAAGTAGCACTATATAGTGGAAAGAGGGCCAGCCTTGAAGTCAGGAAGGGCTGAATTTAGGATGGCCTCCAACATGT